TATGCTTTGGTTACAGTTTTTAATGTGGGTTACTGAAGGTTTGGTGTTACTTGCATGTAATTATTTATGTAATTATTTAATCAAAATGTTCACGCTATTAACAAATCATTAAGTTAGTCTCAAGTCTCAAAATACTAATTAGCTGCCTGTTAATAGTAAGATAGTAGTTGGTTTTAGGTATTAGATATGATTGGCAACTTAAAACAAGGTAATACTTTACAACAATAATAATAATAATAATAATAATAATAATAATAATAATAATAATAATAATAATAAATAAATGAATGAATGAATGAATAAATAAATAAATAAATAAATAAATAAATAAATAAATAAATAAATAAATAAATAAATAAATAAATAAGGTGCCAAAAAGCAGCTAATATCTTTATAATAAGCAGGTAATAATCCAGTGGTAACTGATGTGAATTGTTACTTAAACTAAATTGTTGATTTGTAATTACCCAGTTTAATACAATAATAATGCTATGCACATAGTATTTATGTATGAAACAAAACTGTAAAATACAGTGCTATCATGTTTGGACCAGAGAGACGGGTGTGTGTGTGTGTGTGTGTGTATGACTAAGGAGTCGCTGTAACATAAACAGCTGGGAAAAGGTTAATCCTATCAAAGAGGAAGCTAAACAAAAAAAAAAGTGTACTGCCTTTTTATCTACACAGCTGCCATTACCACAGGCTTAACCAGCTCACCGGCGCCTGCTTTCATTATGTCTAATATGAGCCTCGCAGTGAGTAATGATACTGTGTGAAGTATTGTTCTTGTGCCGAAACACTAAGGGCTTTCGCACATACTGATTTTCTGGAGGTTTAATGATGTTTTTCTGTTAAGAGGTCATGGGTGAAGAGGTGCGAAACAAAGGGGTTGTAACATTTATGTTACTGTTCAAGCATAGAAACGTATTTGTCTTTTATCAAATATGTAAGAAAGAACACAATAGCCTTAAAAAATGTGTGTGAGTAAGATTTTGTGGATGCAAGGCAAGAGGTAACGCGTCGTAAAGTTTACCAAACAGTGTACAAGACTCAGCCCCGGTGTGTGTGTGTGTGTGTGTGTGTGTGCATCTGTCTGTCTGTGTGTCTGTGCGTGCGTGTGTGTTTGTCTGTGCGTGTGTATGTGTGTTCAATCAGCAAATAACAGGAACCAGTGTGTGCAAGTTGCATGCCGGGAATTGCAGTTCTTCAATGTAGTGTGTGTAGTTCTCCAGCAATTCGCAAGGAATAGATCGCTGAAGATTGTGACAAGTAATTATAAGTAATTTGTTAAATATTATTGATTAAATAATTGCAATAAAAATCTATAGCTTTTTGAAGTTATGAATGAATGAATGAATGAATGATCATGTTCTCCTATTTAATGTGGCAAACTTTGTGATAATAATAAGCGGAACGTGATACATATTTTAACAGTATCTAAAAGAATGGATCCCTTTATTTGGTTAATAACTAATTTGTTAGTAATGTTATACCAATTTATGAAAACTGTCTTGAGGTAATATTTTAGGGCTCAGAAACACTCAAAGCACTTGCCTTTACGTGCAGAATGTTACTCAGATCAATTATACAGTGCATTATTGAATGTATAGTCCATTAAGACATGATGGTTCCCTCTGCTACACATCCCACTTAAAGACTTTCCCAATGCCGAGTAATTATCCATAAGCCTTTATCTCCTGTTTGGACAGAGTCATTAGTGTTGATTCGGGTGTACTTATCAAGGCATTAATTTGAAGTTAATCTGTTAATGATTTTCAGTGTTATTATTGAGACTATCTGTAAGTGCACATGTGAACTTTCCTCTAGTGTGGAACAGGAAAAGAATCTACATCAATATCTTTGGGGATTTCCTGGATAATATCTACAAACTGAGTTAGACTGAATCATAGTCTACTTTAGTAGTTCTTTAAACTGTGGTATACATATGTTGGCTAACTTGTTTATATTACTAGATGCTTTGTATGCACTATAATAACAATACTTTAATTCAAATACTTAACTATATAAATAAAATTGAAAAACACTGTATTATTTACTATCATTTAACATTACTGTACTATTTTCAATGATAGTCCTTTTTAGTATTTGCATGCTTATTTGATTGTTTTGAAAGGACTCAAAGAAATTGTTGGTTCGGTTTGTATCATGCTTCTGTGGTCACAGATTTCAGTTTGATTCAGTTTACATTGTAAAATAAAATCCCCTATTGTAACACTTAAATACCATTTAGAGCTACCATACATAAGCACAAAATGCAGCCTTATAATCTGTCATTTACAGGATTTTAAAAAGTCATTCTCAGGGGCATGTAATGAAAAAACTTGATCTTAGTAATACATTCACTCGTTAATTTTCCTTTGGTTTATGCCGTGTTTAGACTACAGGATTTTCAAAGTAGCTGTGTCACAAATGTTTTCACACTGCATGGCTATCTGGGCTAGCATTCTGTCACTGCTTTGTTTACACTGCAGGATGAATTGGCGATGAGGGGTTTTACACTGCATAACTTTATAATAAGAATAATCATCGACAATTACGTCTCACAACCAAATACACGTGATAATGACATGGCCTGCAGATACCCAAACTAGTGGATTTAAATCGTTGACAGGTCCAGATATTTAGCATGCCAAGTATCTCATTTGCAATTCTCTCAAGCCCCGTTTAGATTGATAAGTTTTAGTTTTAAAATGCATAAGTTTTGCTATGGTTATGCCATCCGTTTACACTATGCTATGAGCTTTTTGGAAACGCTGAAGAGGCCGTTTCATTCTAAAACGCTGCTGCTCCGTGTCAGTGTGGATGGAGGGAAATGGAGACATCTGAAAACGGACATTTGCCAGTCTGGATCTTTTCCTTCAATATTAGGTAGCCTGCACACAGTTCAGTTTTGCATCCTCTCCTTGTAAATTCAGACTTCGCAAGTTTGATGTGGAAAACAAGCTCCCTGGGACACGTCGGGTAAATCTTCCAAGGGAACAATGTACTTTATAACTTCATTCACATCCCCCTGGCTATGTTATTTCACTTTGCTAACAATAAAATGATAACATGACATAAGAAACTATTATTTTCATTTTGATATTAGCAACTTAACAGACACTAAACATGTTGAGGAGTCGTGTACTGTAGCTTCATATTTATATGACCATCATCTTCACTGTGTGCATATTTATAACAAAACTGAGCCATAACATTACTACCTCCTTTCATTTTCATTGAAAATATGAAACACACCCACTATTTTGCTGAATATCAGTTTTAATAATTAATAATGGCCATTATAAAAGCATAACATACAATAAGTTTATACACTACAGGAAATAAATGCAAGCAATATGCAGAATCAGTGTCCGCGGTTACATTAATTACAATATTAACCTAACTTATCTGCACTCAGCCAAAACAAGTAACCTGAGAACAAGTAATAGATTTGAAGACCAAAGTCAGGGAATATGTCGTTAGATAGAGATAACAAGATGAATTAAATACCACTTTTAACAAATATAGTGAGATTGGATCCAGTGGTGTTTCCCAGAGATGGGTTGTGGCTGGAGGTCATCTGCTGCGTAAAAACTCGCTGGATAAATTGGCGGTTCATTCCACTGTGGCGACCCCAGATTAATAAAGGGACTAAGCCAACAAGAAAATGAATGAATGAATGGATCAAGTGGTAGATCTTGGGTGAACAGTCGGACGTGCACAGCTCTCATATGGGTAGCACTGCAGTGCATGCCAAAGTGTGTGTGTGTGTGTGTCGTCACATGATGTACATTTTCAGCGGTGTAATGTAGATGGAGAGTTGTTCCCTTGTTTATCAGGGGTGGTCACAGCAGAATGAACCGCCAACTATTCCGGCATATGTTTTACACAGTGGATGCCCTTCCAACAGCATTCCAGTACTGGGAAAAACTCATACACTCTCATTCACACGCCCACTCATACATTACTGCCAAATAAATAATTAATTCGTTTTTCCCGTTCACCTATAGTGCATGTCTTTGAACTTTGGGGGAAACCAAAGCACCTGGAGGAACATGGTAAAAACATACATGCCAACTGGACTTAGCAATACATTATTTTAATAAATGACATAGCCTTTGGAACACGAGACACAATCTCTCAGCTCATTAAAATGCCATCACTTATGCAGCACAAGCACACAGAATGGTTTTGTTTGTTCTGTTAAGTTTCATAGATAAACATGTCATAGGGTTTTCTTGTAGGTTATTTTCTTATTTTGTCCAGACAAATTGAAGCCAAGCAAACAAAATTGCACTCTTCAATAAATGAAAGCTTCCATTTTTATTTTTTTTGTCACAGTGGCACAGAAGAACCATTTTAGGCTACACAAAGAATCTTTTTTATTGACATTTTTAAAAGAACCTTTTTTTTTTCGTGAAGTACACTTTTGCATAATTTTAAGGGCCTTTTCTCACTTTTAAAAACATTCTGACAAATCAAAAATGCTCCTTGGAAGTTTCTTCCATAAACAATAAAAACAAAAAAAGTAAATGATTTCAACAGTAAAAATGCTTTAATAACTTAGTTAACAGTAAGTTTCTTTAATTTGTACAGTGAATAGCCATAAACATTGACATTACTATTGTTCTTTTTAGTTTTTTAGTTTTCTCTAATCACTTGTGTACTGTACTGGAGTGAGAAATCAAATGCAACATAAGATGGCTTATTTTAAATAAAAACAAAACAAAAAGACAACAAAAACCATCACGAGGGGGAAAAACATAACTATAACACAAATGGATATACAAACTTGGCTGGGCTGGCAAGACAGGACTGGAGCAGGAACACAGGGAAGTATAGACGACGAACTGGCACAGGAGAGTAGACATGAGGAGAATATAGGCAGGAATAATTAGCACACAAACAGGTGAACATAATAAACTAATAATGGGTTAACAAGGAGGGTGGGACTAGACAATACACAGAAAGGCACATAACACACAACACAAGCCATGACGGCACTCGGCACTCTCTCTCACACTGCCGATCACAACACACAATACATGACAGGACTAGTGTCTGGACTGGACCACTAAAGCAAGAATTAACAAGACCAGAGTGGCAGAATCCTAAACAGTATGTTAGAGTTTCATGTTATACATCTGTTGTTGATAAATCATGTTTATTACATTAATTTAGTATCATCCCTGCTGAAAAATCCAGCTTAAACCAGCCTAAGCTGATTGGCCGTTTTTAGCTTGTTGACCACCCTGGTTTTAGAGGGTTTTTGACCATATCCAGACTGGTTTCTAGCCATTTCCGGCCTGGTCTGATGACCAGCTATAAACCAACTAAAACCAGCTTGACCAGCCTGGTTTAAGCTGGACACAGCTGGTTTTGGCTGGGCTCCCAGCCTGGTTAGGCTGGTCAAGCTGACCAGCTAAGACCAGGCTGGAAATAGCTAGAAAATAGCCTTGAAATGGCCAAAGCCCCTCTAAAACCAGGTTGGTCAACCAGCTAAAAGCAGCCAACCAGCCTATGCTGGTTTAATCTGTTTTTTTCAGCAGGGATGCAACCATCCATCCACCCCCCTTGAATGAACAACTTATCTAGCATATCTTTTACACGGAAGATGCACTTCCAGTTGCAATCCAATACTAGAAAACACCCATACGCACTCATTCACACATACACTATGGCCAATTTAGTTCATTCAATTCACCTCTACCGCATGTCTTTGGACTGTGGAGAAAATCCACACCAACACAAGGAGAACATGCAAACTCCACACAGAAATGCCAACTGTCCAAGCTGGGACTTGAAATGGCAACCTTCTTGCTGTGAGACGACAGTGCTAACCACTGAGTCACCGTGCCGCCCCGTGTTACCATAATATATATGCATATGTGTCTCTGCATGTGGATAAGCTGTTTGTGATGAGCTTTGGTTCTCTTGAGTGCAAGACTTTCTTATTAACACATTAACTTTTGTCTGTGTAACAAAGGTAACTTCTGTAGATGTTGGTACTTTAAAACATTGGTGTATATCACTGTAAATTAATGAAATGTGATAGTTTACTGTAAACTTCAGATATATCTTGTACAGTTTTTACCGTATTTTTATAGTAAAATTCCAGCTACCAATTTTGGCAGTTTTTTTTATCATAAATTTGACAAATTTTTATTTTTACTAAAAACCTTTATTTTTAAAAGTGTGCAAATGTTTACTCGGCCCACAATCAGCTTTAGGAGGCCATATAAGGCCAGTATTATCTCTCTCTCTCAAAGAGGAATTACAGAGAAATACAACTTTGTGTCTTTTGCTGCTCTGCTCTTACTCTTCGCTCGTCTCACCTTCACAGCGGCTGGGTCAAGGGCTGTGGGTGTCAGGCTGAATTAATAGGGAATGTGGAGGAGAGTGACGCTGAGGTGATCTCTGTGATGACGACGCCTTATTGCTTTCCATGAACACTGCGGCTTCATGCATATTTATGAGTGGAAATATCGGTTTAACAACAGCCCTGTCTGCACACACCTTATTCCAGGACTAATGCTTGTTTCTGTGCGCCGCCAGTATCCTGACAATGAGCTTTATACCCTTTCTATTAACTCTAAATGAAAGCTGGGAGAAATGGCGTTGGCTTTGTGACCCAGCCACAGCAAAAGCAAAAAAAAAAATGAAATAAAAACTCAACACAATAATACCTGTTTGTATAAATCTTTCCTTTGCTTTTTTGTTTTTGATTTCAGCAACATAAGCATTGCTGCTTAGACCACCAGTTGAGTAAATGTGGAGTAATTGGTTGAACACATCGATTTGTGACGCTACACTTGTATGTGTTAAATATTAATAGCCATCAATTCTCATAGAACAGGCTGGGAATTTAAAGGGCAGCTCTCACATGGTCATTTACTTGATTAATAATGGCTTCTAATGTAGCTCCATCATCTTGTGAAGAGTCACCTATCTATCCATATATCAACTTTATGAGCTGCCTTTACTGCTCACAAACCTCCAACAAGCAGATTAAATCATGATTATTCTTTTATTTGTCCTCTTGTGTTATGAATCGGTTAATAGATTCAAATTTTTCAGTGATTTGCAAGACAGTCTTCAGTATAGTGTTCTCACTTAGCCAAACTGTTTGAAGTCCCCAAGAAATCAAAACTAACTATATGATTTTGTCAGCTCATTGCTAGTTTTGTGGTGAACAATTCATCTGTGCATGTCATTAAGACAAAACAATTGTTTGCCCTTTTAACTTTAATTCAAATCTTAAAATACACTTCCTATTTGTTTTCAATTTTATTCTCAGATTACGTGATTTTGAGGTAATGGGTGTAGCTAACATGCTTCATCACGCTGGTTCAACTGTTTTGACAACAAGCGTAAATGATAAGCAGGAAGAGTTTGTTAGGTTGTAATAACTTCTGTAAAACCCCTTTCCACATCTTTCTAAATGAAATGCCCACTTTACATCCATTCAGCCCGTGGTAGAAAAAACAAGCCACGCCCACTGTTTGCTCATTTAAATTTTGTATTTTTTTTTTCTAGGAACTGCATCGCAATACGAATACAAATGTTGATCGCTGCTTCCGGTTGATTGGGACTTTAACTTTGCAGTTCAGTTTGACCAAAATATGTATTTCAGAGGAACCAGCTTCACAATTCTCCAATAGAACCATGGTTAGCATGGTTTTAAATGCTCAGTTTTTAGTTAATTTTGTTTTACTTTAAAGCTGAATTAAAACTATGCTTTATTTTGTAGTTACTACAGTTGAAGTCAGAATTATTAGCCCCCTGAATTATTAGACTCCCTTTTTATTTTTCCCCCAATTTCTGTTTCAAGAGTTCACACTTAGCTGATGATTTACAAAGCTTATTTGGCATGCTGTCCCGGGAGAGAGCCCCGAGCTCAAGGGCTCCTCGAGCCCGGGGCTTCCTCCCGTTGGCAGAGCAAGAAGGGAGCCTGAGCTCGGTGGATCTCAGAACTCCCCTGCCGCTGTAGCTAAGGGAACGTAAGGAATTAGACCAGCTTGATTGTTAAGTATGTTGAATGTCTTTGGATGGTGGGAGGAAACCGGAGAGCCCGGGGAAAACCCACGCGGACACGGGAAGGACATACAAACTCCCCACAGAAACACTCACCGGTCCTATCGAACTAGGACCGGCAGTATTCTTGCTGTGTGGTTCACAGTGCTAACCACTGGACCGCCGTGCCGCCCAATTACAGGTAAAGGAGGAGAATAGGGGAGGAGGGGGGTTTCTTCCAAACGAAGATAAAGTGAACTGGAAACTTAGACTATTTATGGTGCCTTAGGGCTCATATGATTGGAAGATTAGTGATTAGCAAATGCGAGACTGGACGTGATAAATCATAAGCACGTGATCCTCTCGAAATTAGTTTATGAATAAACTTCACTTCAAGAGTTCACACTTAGCTGATGATTTACAAAGCTTATTTGGCATGCTGTCCCGGGAGAGAGCCCCGAGCTCAAGGGCTCCTCGAGCCCGGGGCTTCCTCCCGTTGGCAGAGCAAGAAGGGAGCCTGAGCTCGGTGGATCTCAGAACTCCCCAAAATGCAGAATTAATCGCTCGGGACAGCAGCCGCGTATTCGAAGAAAAAACCCCCCAAAAGGCAGGAAATTTAGAGCTATATCCGGCTGCTGGATATAGTAGAAGAAAAGAGGTTAAATGCATGGGCATTAATTAGATAGGATTAATAAGGGTGAAAAGAGGATTCTAATAACTCTTGCTGGAGTTTGAAGGAACCCCTGCGGGGGTCATGGTTTTCGGGGTTAAGAAGAAGGGGAGAATAGGTGGTTTGAAGCAGTGAAAGAGAACTTTGAGAGAATCTTGTAGGAGTTGGAGCTCTAAGTGACCCCTGCGGGGGCCAGAGTAGAGTGAAGGTATGGAGCAGAGAGTGGAGGAGAGTAGCTCTTACGAAAGATGGAGCTTTGTGAGAGTTTGAGTTTAGAGCGGCCTCTGCGGAGGTTAGAGCTTGAGGGTAGGGTGTAGATAGGAGTGACCTCTGCGGAGGTTAGAGCTTGAGGGTAGGGAGTAGATAGGAGCGACCTCTGCGGAGGTTTGAGCTTGAAGGTAGGGTGTAGATAGGAGCGACCTCTGCGGAGGTTTGAGCTTGAAGGTAGGGTGTAGATAGGAGCGACCTCTGCGGAGGTTTGAGCTTGAAGGTAGGGTATAGATAGGAGTGACCTCTGCGGAGGTTTGAGCTTGAAGGTAGGGTGTAGATAGGAGCGACCTCTGCGGAGGTTTGAGCTTGAAGGTAGGGTATAGATAGGAGTGACCTCTGCGGAGGTTTGAGCTTGAAGGTAGGGTGTAGATAGGAGCGACCTCTGCGGAGGTTTGAGCTTGAAGGTAGGGTGTAGATAGGAGCGACCTCTGCGGAGGTTTGAGTTTGAAGGTAGGGTATAGATAGGAGTGACCTCTGCGAGGTTTGAGCTTGAGGATAGGGTGTAGATAGGAGTGACCTCTGCGGAGGTTAGAGCTTGAGGGTAGGGAGTAGATAGGAGCGACCTCTGCGGAGGTTTGAGCTTGAAAGTAGGGTGTAGATAGGAGTGACCTCTGCGGAGGTTTGAGCTTGAGGATAGGGTGTAGATAGGAGTGACCTCTGCGGAGGTTAGAGCTTGAGGGTAGAGAGTAGATAGGAGCGACCTCTGCGGAGGTTTGAGCTTGAGGGTAGGGTGTAGATAGGAGCGACCTCTGCGGAGGTTTGAGCTTGAAGGTAGGGTGTAGATAGGAGTGACCTCTGCGGAGGTTTGAGCTTGAGGGTAGGGTGTAGCTGGGAGGAGCAATGAGTGGAAGAGAGTAACTCTTGCGAGAGTTGGAGCTTGAAGCGACCTCTGTGGAGGTCAGAGCTTGGGGGTAGAGTGTAGATGGGGGGAGATAGGTAGCAGTGAGTGGAAGAGAGTAACTCTTGTGAGAGTTGGAGCTCTGAGCGACCTTTGTGGAGGTCAGAGCTTGAGGGTAGATTGCGGATAGGAGGAGATAGATATCAGTGAGTGGGAAAGAGGATTTGGATAACTCTTGCGAGAGATTGGGGCTCGGAGCGATCCCTGTGGGGGTCAGAGCTAGAGGGTGAGTCATAAGGAGAAGAGAGGTAGTTGAAGTAGAGTGAAGAAGTTTTAGCTTGAGCGGACCCCTGCGGGGTTTGGAGCTTGGAGAAAGAGTCTAGGCGGAAAAAGAATAGGTAACATCATGAAGAAGAAAGGACTGTGGCCGCTATGGCCGAATCCTGCGAGAGTTGGAGCTCAAGGGGGCCCCTTCGGGTGTCTGGAGAGTCTAGACAGGAGAAACAAGATCATTAGAGGTAGAGTGTAAAATAGATTAGTTGGGAGTGGAGTGTAGAGAAGAAAGGAACGAGAGGCTGAAAAGTAGGGTTATAAGGATAAAAGATTTGGAAAAGTTGGAAGAAGGGAACAAGCACAAATATAATACATATGTACAAACGCAGTAAATGCGCAAAGAACATGTGGATACAAACGTCTGCATCTGTAAATAGCTATTGGTGATTGCAGAAGATGCTAACTGCAATGGCCCTTGAGGGAGTCCTTGGCAAACATGTAAGGGTGCCATGGGTGGACAATTGGGCTTCTGCGGGGTTTGGTTTGGATGACTCTTGCGAGAGTCGAGGCTCTGTTAGACACCTTTTTGAGTTGGAGCCGTGCGAGGAGGTGCTTGGGGGTTGGTTAAAGCCTGTTGGGCTTTCTTGAGGTGGTATTTACTGAGACGTATATAAGATTTGAAAACTTCAGAAGACCAGCGACCAAGGGTCTGGATCTGATGGTGTGAGAGCCCGTTGTAGTGGCTGCGCCAATCCTGAATGAGTGGCTGGAAAAGGGCTCTGGGAAAAAACCTGATAGGCGAAAGATTTCTTTAAGGTGTTTTTGAAACCAGAATCGAGATACTGGACGGTTAGCGTCATCAGTAAAAAGCGGGGCCAGTGGGTTAGCCTCTTGAGATTTTCTAGGCTAAGAGGGTTTGGAATGGGCGTGTAGGTGAAGGAATATTGAAAATGAGGATAGAGTGTCCTCTCTGGAATTAATCTGTTTTGCTTTGTTTGATAAGGAAAGAGATAGTTTCCCTGTCTTGCAAAGCTAGATCTGAGATGGTGGGGTGGAGTAGAGGGTTAAATTTGGATGTAACTGTTAATTCAGAACGTTTAAGAAACCCCCCCAAAAAAAATGCTAGATTGAACATAGCATCTAAGGTGCGGGCTGTATGGGAGGAAATGTAACCTTTACAGAGGGTGTAGATGCATGAGGTAAGGATTTTGAGTGTAATGGGTTGTCTAGCATGGTATGGAATTGTTTGAACGAATTCCATGCTGTGAGGTATGCATTGAGGGTTCTGGGAGCTATTGCTTGTAGGATAAGAGATAGAGAAGTTTGATGAAGATTATGAAATGGGTGGTTTATGGAAATATCGTTACTGAATAAGGAGGGACCGGCGTTGGGTGAGGGTCTGCTTCCGGGGCTAGTTGCCAGAATATCTGCAAAGAGAAATGAGAGAGAGAGTCAGCGATTTGGTTTTTGCAACCAGGTACATGTTCAGCAATCATGATAAATTGTTTTTTAGCAGATATCCAGATAAGGTGTCTTAAAAATGGCATAAGCGATTGGGAGTGGGAGCGCCCTTTGTTAATGCAATGCACTGTAGCTTCGTTATCGTAGTGAAAGAGAATGCTAGATGTAGACCAT